GGATAGTGTGAAAATATGTGCAGGGGATAAAGCTCCTGGACCTGATGGATACTCAATGGTCTTCTTCATTCACTGCTGGGAAGTGGTGAACGAGGAAGTAATAGTTGCAGTTCAAAACTTCTATTACTAATTTTTGAAAAGAGTTTCAATGCCACCTTTGTGGCATTGATTCCAAAGAAGGTGGGAGACAAGGAACTGAAAGACTTCAGGCCTATCAGCTTAATTGGTAGAATCTACAAAATCATCTCCAAGTTATTGACGGAGAGACTTAATAAAGTAGTGAATAAGCTGGTGGATGTTCAATAGATGGCTTTCATTAAAGGTAGGTAAATAATGGATGCCATTTTAATTGCCAATGAATGCGTGGATGCAAGGATATTAAGCAAGAAGCCTGGCATCTTATGCAAACTAGACATTGAAAAGGCTTATGATCATTTGAATTGGAACTTTCTGCTTGACACTATGAGGAAGTTGGGTTTTGGTGGTAGGTTGGTTCATTGGATTAAGTTTTGCATCAACACAGTAAGATTCTCAATTCTAATTAATGAACACCAATTGGCTTCTTTCCTTCGCAAAGGGGCCTAAGGCAGGGTGACCCCTTATCTCATTTTTTATTCATCATTGCAATGGAAGCTTGAATAATATGTTTGAGACGGCTCAAACAAACAACTGGATAAGGGGATTCAGGGTAAACTCCAGGGCAAGTAGTTAATTGGAGATTTCTCATTTGCAATATGCAGATGACACACTTGTGTTCTGTGAAGATGATAAAGAACATTTGCTAATACTAAGGATCATTTTTATTTTGTTTGAGGTCATATCTAGTTTGCATATTAACTGGAATAAAAGCTTTATTTATTCAGTTAATGAGGTGACAGAGCTTCAAAATTTGGCTGAAATCCTTGGAGGAAAAATTCGATCGTTACCTATATTATATTTGGGGATGCCTTTGGGGGCTAAAAGCAAGTCAAAAAGGATAAGGAATGGGGTCTTAGAGAAATGTGAGAAGAAGCTAGCTAACTGGAAGAGCCAATATCTGTCTATGGAAGGAAGATTAATCTTGATTAACTTAGTACTTGATGTTATGCCTACATATATGATGTCTTTATTCCCAGTGAATGTGGTGAATAGAATAGATGCCTTGAGAAGAAATTTCTTATGGGAAGGAAACAGTGATAGGAAGAAAATTCACTTGGTCAGATGAAATTTCCTTACTTGTAACAAGAAGGAAGGGGGTTGGGAATTAAGAATTTGAAGATTCAGAATTAAAGTTTATTGATGGAGTGATTATGGAGATTTGCTTTAGAAGAACAATTCCTATATAAAGAGGTAGTCAAACAAAGTATGGTATGGAAGGAAAATGGACAACCAAGCATGTTAGAAGCCCCTATTGGGCCAGTTTGTGGAAGTCTATTAGAAACTTGTGGCCTAAGCTCATTAACAAGTCAAGCTTCAGAGTTGGAAATGGTAGAAAAATATCTTTCTGGGAGGATAATTGGCTAGGCCAGGCTTCACTGAAACAACTTTTTTCAGACATATATCTACTAAATCAACAGCAAGAAGCAACAATAGGAGATGTGTGGTCAAACCAGGGTTGGAGTCTTACCTTCAGGAGATTACTGTTTCACTGGGAGGTTGATCGAATTTCAGAGTTTTACAAGATCTTCGAACAATTCAAAGGGACCTCCAATGCTGAAGATGGTGTGACATGTCAAGGTAATAACAAAGGAAAGTTCTCAGTCAAAGCAGCATATAAGGAATTCAATATTTCAAATAATCAGGTTGGTTGTTGGCCATGATAATTGATTTGGAAGGTTAAAATTCCTTATAAAGTGGCCTGCTTTACATGGTTGTTGGCAAAGGAGACAGTCCTAACACAGGATAACTTGGTCAAGAGAGGATACCAACTTTGTTCTACACGCTACTTATGTGGAGAGGAGGCAGAGACAATCAGTCTTTTCTTTTTTTTGCACTGTAGGGTGACTTCTGATGATAGGCTATAATTGCATATTTTAGTCGCTTATTACACTCGAATTTACTGCACTTTAATTGAGTTTGCGCTTTAATCGCTAGTGTTTTGCACTAATTGTGTGTTTTATGCCTTGTAGGTGTGATTCCGAGCTATATAGATGTTATGGAATGAATTTAAGTGATTTGAATCTTTGAAGTCTGAGTAAAAGCTCAAGGAATTAATCCGGGATCGTGTTCGGGGGTCAAATTTGACAATTAAGTACGAACGAAGACTTGAGGAGGCATATTGCGTACTGTCTAATAAAATAGACATAACTTTTTGCTCAGAACTCCATTTGAGCTCCACAATATATGGTTGGAAAGCTAATTCAAAGCGCTACAAGTTTCATGTTTTACGTTTTTCCAAATTTCAAACGGAACAGGGTGAAAAACGCGGTCGAAACCGCGACCGCGGAACTGACCGCGGCAGAAAATCAGAGAACTTGTCTGGCCGCGGTTCTACCGCGGTCGCGCCGCTCCAGGCGTCAAAAAGAAGTCCTATTTCGCCCGGGACAAGTTTATTTCGGCCCTAAACTATTCCAACTTGTATAAAAGGGTTCCTAAACCTATTTTAAAGAAGAGGGGGACATATTTTGGACATAGATTCGACCTAAGGAGGCAAGAACACATTGGGAGCAAGGCGGAGAATTCTTCTACGAGTTTTTCCTTCCTCTTCCTATTTTTCATTGTTGGTTATGACTTTTAGTATTGTAGTTTTACATACTATTATGAATAGCTAATTTGTTATCTAGAGTTTTGATAGAACCTTTTGTAGGATAAATTCTTGTTATGTTTTTATATAATTGAGCCATAGCTTTTCTCTATTTGTTCAACTACGTTTATATTGTGGTTGATTGAAGAGATCTCAATTAGCTGTGCCTATTTAGTATGCATAACTCGGGAGAGAGTGCATATTTAGGTAATTGTTGAACAACACCACTCCCAGAGTATATGAGGGATCAATAACCGAGGGTTTAAAGGCGGGATTAGGGATAACGAAGCCTTGGGTGCGATCTGAAGTGAGCTGTATTAAAAGCCAGCTAGCGTAGCTCGGGAGAGTGCGTCTAGTAAATTGTCGTAATTACTCGGGAGAGATTTACGGTAATAAGAGTGCTCATGATCGGTAGAGAATACTTAGCCGAAATTATAGAAGACATAGCGGGAAGGATTCCGAAAATTGGGGAAATCATAACTCTAGACCTCCTTAATCTTTTCTCTAACCCTCAGTGTCGTTAGTTGTTAATTTAATATTTTAATTTGTTAGTTAATTAGTTAAACAGAAGAATCTTAATATCTATAAGTTAGGAATTGTTCAAGCTTGTCTTCTTGGTGATAATGAACAGCTGTAGCTAAACCTTAGTTCTCCGTGGGATTCGACTCCGGACTTGTAAACCGGATTATATTTGCAACGACCGCATTGTCCTTTTTATAAGGCATAGTTGGGCGTGATCAACTTCACAATCATGGAGGATGTTCATCAACTTGAGGGATTCTTGTGGGTTATGCCAAGAAGAATTCTTGAAGTTCTAGCTTGCTTGAACATAGAAGGCAACCTTTTCGATCATAGAGAGAGATGGAAGATTGTCCCTACTTGTATTTGGTGGACAATTTGAAAAGAAAGAAATCGAAAATGCTTTGAAGATAGATCCAGCAATGTCCAAAATATGAAAATGAATTTTTTAGCTCTTTTTCACTTTTGGTGTAAAGGAGAATACTTAGAAAACCATGAATCTATTTTTGATGTATTAGAATCCTTATGAGAAGAAAAAGGATTAGGAGAGTTTCTCCTATGCTTCACCTTGTTATTATGGATGACTCCACAGTTTCTGTGTAGTCTTATTATTTATATAGAAATGTTACCTTTTCAAAAAAAAAAAGCCAATTCAAGCCAAGCCAAGCCAAGCTAAGCCAAATAGGTAATAGGTGTGTAGGTACGGGTAATTAATTTTAACTGGGTAGATATAAATTATAAATAATTTTCAAATGGGTGGTAAAGGATAATTATTTTAAGCTCAATGGGTATTTTGCATAGTGGAGGTGGCAAAATGGTTAAAAGAAAATAGTTAACCACCCATATTATCCACTAAAAAATGAGTTGGATAATAAACTTTTTAAACATGGATCAAATATGGAAAAGAACCATATTATCCATTTAGAAAATGGATAACATGGATGGCTAATGGATTTAACTTTTACATTTGTAAAACCTCAATTGGGGGTTCCTCAAGTTTGGAAGACTAAGAATTCTCCCAAAAGTGATCATATTCATGAAGCCATGGATAATATGGTTACCCATATTATTCGACGGTTAACCCTTTTTTATCCGTATTAAATATGGGCCGGATCGGATAATTTATCCGTTTTTTCATTATCCATTTTTGACCTGTCCCATATCCGACCCGACCGCCTGTTCGCCACCCCTACTGCATAGATTGTTTTATAACATAGTGGACCATTCAAAAAGTTTAAATCCAAGCTTGTGTTAAAAGAAAGAATTATGAAAAAATTTAAGAAATATTCATATATCACATTAAAAAAACATTTTTATGTATAAAATATTTTTTAAAACTTGTAGACATATAATGTCGGGTTGGGTTGGTTTCGAGTTGACTTTTTTTAGTTGACACTAAACCAAACCAATTATGATCAGGTTTTTTTTCCTAACATCAAATCATAGTTTGATTTTTTTTCTAGTTTGACTCGAATTATCGGTTTAATGCACTTTGTCGGTTTCTATTATACACCCTACTTGACATTTTGAAGGCTTAGCAGCTGCCTAACTCATAGAGAGCCTAACACCAGCTTCACACTTATCCTTTCACCAAAGGGACTATCA